AAGTCTTATTGATAAGCGCTGTAAATAGCATGTATCCAATCGAACCGTGTTCAATCGTGTGCAAAGTAACGACAAAAGTAACTGTAAATTTCGTTACCGTTACCCAAAAAATGTAACTCGTTACCGTTACAGTTACCAAAAAAAGAAAGTAACGCAGTTACCAGTAAAGTTACCAAAAAAGTAACTTGTAACTGTAACTTCGTTACAAGTGACGAGTTACTTCCATTCCCTGCTTAAAATTAACTAAGTTAACCTTTTAACTTTTTTTCCTAGTAACTACTCAACCCCGAGAAGGAGTGATGTGTCACAGGCAGTGATCATTTTCGAACCAGCAAAATTCCTTTGGTTCCGCTCTCTCCATCGTCGACTGTAGGATGGATGTCCGAAGGAAGTTTCGTGCGACACCCTGTAGAAGAATTATCGCATTACGCCGTGACTATAGGGCGCTTCGAAAGCCTTAATCCGCCATTGCTCGCGCACACGTATACCTTACACGTGGGCGGGTGCACGCAAGAACGTGCACGCTGCGCTTGGCACAAAACGATCGGAATTGCGGGGGGGGGGGGGGGGATGAACTCGACATACCGCACGCGTATGTGTACCCTCTAATCAAGGTAAACTTAATTAACGGGATTGATTAATAAGCAACAACGGTGTATAAGATTATATGGTTTATTTCGTAACAAACTTGCACAATTATTGATAACATATATTCCGTGAGAGCAAGTGTGTAAATATATAATATATATCATATTTATATTTCGCTGTCATTTTTTTGTATAATATATATATGTATATATATATTATAATATATGCACAAATAAATCTATAATATATTTACTTGTACACTTTTAGATATATATATATATGTGTATTTGTTTATTTACGCGCGTTTATATACCTATATACGTGGGCGCGCATTGTGCGTGTCATGCGTGTAAGTCAACGTAGTAAAAAAAATCAGTCTTGCAATCAGTCTTACGCCGCTAATTGTTAAAAGTGTCGTTGTCCGCTTCTGACTATTTACAAATTGTATACGGATAAACGAACAAGAATTATCAAGGATCGAAACGTCACGAGTGAGATAATGGGGAGTTTCACGTACTATAATAATAGGCTCTGTTTCCACGCAACATGATGATGGCTGATAATAAACGATATAAAATCAACATTAATATATAGTTAACGCATCGCGCTCACACCGTAAAGATTAGTCAACGAATGAAGGCACGTACTGAGGAAGCGACCTCACGCTGTATATGTATTCGTATTTAAAAGACGCACTCGCCATGTCTTTTGGTGCTTCGAAATGCGCTCTGCAGACACACACACACGTGGATATTAAAATACATATATCGATTATATAAAAACGTGCTCTCTCGCATCAACGCCGCACGATATACTTCTAATAAAGCAATCGGCTTTTTTAAAACAACGTACCCGTATCCGTACATACGAACGGATACGTGTATATTTTCTTAATTAGTTACTCTATACGTCTTCTTCGTCTACCTATAACAAGCTATCCCAGTTTGATTTGCAAACCGATACTTCGGAAAGGAGAGATATAACGTACAAACACGCGCGTGTTAAATACGAATCGAAAGACGAATCTCATCAGGATAAAAGGAGAAAGAGAGAGGCTTGCAGTCGAACGATTTTACGTGAAATCGTCAAAGTAGGATATCTTGCTTCTTACAACGCTCGACGAATATTTATAATTAGTGCACGGTATATATTCTCGATTGAAGTAAAATTTATTAAAGCCTAACAATAACATATCTTACTTGCTATAGTTGTACTATTGTACTTACAGTGCACTCTGTAATTGGTATAAAAAAAAATAATAATAATAATAATAATAATGCGTATCGAGATAACAATGACTAAAATAAAGTAATATACGCACTCTTAAATAAAACATTTATATAGTAGGGCTTCAGGTTTTGCCTTACGTAATACATTAACGGCGCGGCAATTTAACTTCAGAGATCTTTGCATATTGTTTGGATTTATTTTCTAACAGATGCGTTTGATCACATGGCGGACAGGTACTGGCATTATCTTGCATTATTTCACATACATTCTGTAAATATCTTGTCTATAAAAATTTTATTGCGGTAAATATGGAATGACTTATATGTATATATTGAGGTAGAAATGCTCGAAGTAGCTTTGGTCTGCGTTTGGAAAGACAAAGTATCGACAAAGAATTATCAAGCGTACATCTGACTCTCCTGATCTATTCTTTATGCGCATTTACCACATTTGAATGCAACTTATATTCTACAATGCGTTTTTACAATTGAATATAATTCATTTATCCATCTTCTATTCTATAAATATGTCGGGTTGAGGAATAGGACCTTTATTTTACAATATCTTCGTTAAAAGTGATTGCGATAAACATTATCATCCTGCAATTGAAAAAAAGCAAATTCTTAAAGCCTTGTTCTATCGAATGATATAATTGCGACAAAAATTTCGCAACAAATGGTGAGTCCTTTTACGTATGTATGTACTTTTCCCCAACCCACTCGTCTGTATGGAAATATATTATCTTTGAAAGAATTTAACTTGATATTAATTACATGTCGCTTGTTATACATTTTTGTTAATATTTTTCTATAAAAATAATATTTAAAACAGAGTGAAATCCAATTAGTATTTTATCGCAGAATTATATATGTACATATATGTCTCGAGATAAAAATAAATATAACGAAATTAAAAAATGCCAAAGCTAATACAAAGTTAGCGTGTTTTAAAAATAGATATACATGTTATATTATTATGATATTATGTATGCAGAATGCTAAACAATAGCAAATTAATAATTTATATTTCGTGTCTTATAAACATCACTCAAAAGTAAAAATCAATTTTTGCATTCTTCAATATTGTCCGTTATTGCAGATATAATACAGAAAAACTTGTGTCTTCGAATTGCAAATTGAAACTTCCTCGATACTTTGCCTCGATTAGGTTTGAGTATTTCAACCGGTGTTATATTTTCAAGTCTGTGCTTTATCAGTCTTACGTTAATGAACACGTAGTTTACATGAGGTATTTCGTTATTATCGTCACTGTCGATATGTTTGAGCAATATTGCAATCGTATCCCGGAGCTGTGGTCAGTAACGATCAAATACAACGACAAAGTACCTACTTACAATCTTAACAAATTAACAGCGATATTTATTAAATAAACAATACAAAATAATACAAAGTTCATAGTGAAATGATAAGTCAGCACATTATGCGAGTAACACAACATCCGGAAAATATTAAAATTTCTTGCATCTACTACTGGCACATTATTATGTATATATAGAATATCTCCCATCACATTTTTATTTCATTCACGTTAACAGAATATATATATAAGGAGGGGAAGGAAAAAAGAACACTTTATGCGTCACTCGAGATTCCATTTATGAATCTTGTATTATTTCGCCGTCAATTTGCTAAAGCTTTAATGCTATTACGGTAGACAAGTATCCGCACAAATGAATATGTCGCGAGACAAAAAAAAAAATGGTCCAATATTGCGCGGTACAGTATCATTACAAATGTTTGTCTTATCTAATCTTGGAAATATTTTCGAGTAAAGTTTTGAAATATTTGTGTCAGTATTTTAAAAAAAATTGTATATCTCATTACACGCGTTCTTCTTTTATCGTTGTTATTGTTTGCGTTAAAAACGATCATTAGAGCTGGCGACACGTTCTTTTGTGCAATTCATTGTTTTCTCAAACCGTAATTCGCGTTAAATTTTTAAGTATTTTAGGTGAATATACCTTAGGCTAGCTCTCTAAACTATGCACGAAAATCGCGAATCACGAACAACGAATCAATAAATTTGCAATAATTAACAGCTTTATCGTTACTTTAGTAATTTAATTTTTTTTAAGATACAATCACCCTCTCTCGTTATGATTATTTAAATCTTACTTTCGTATAAGTTCAAACAGGAATAAATACATTTGCATTCGTCTCTAACCGTATCAAAATGTATATTCAAAGAATTAATAGATATACGCGTATAAAACGTCCCGGTAAATTAGAGAAGAATATTGCAGCAAATTAATGTCAATTATGTACGCGTTAATTTCATGTTTTGCTTGCCGACATGATTTGATTGCCAGTAGAAATCGAGCAGAATTTGTCATCTCGTTAAATTCATAAAAATAGAATATATATTCGTTTATATGATTACAGAATGGAAGATATTGCTCGGTTTCCGCGGTCAATCTGTCGTCACATTCATATTCTGCATTTGTTTTACTACGATCCTACTCGATCGAATCTGTGATATGGATACCTCCGCAAATATCTATTTTCGACTATCCGGGATGAAAATACATACTCGGTAAAGAAACCCGAGTAGTAATAAGAAGTTCGATGTCAAGATAAATTTATTGTAATTCGTTCGAGAAATTGGAAAATTTACGAAAACAATGCAGAAACGGCTATTTTGAGATGCCTAATCAACGGACTTTCTCGTCGTGCAATTGTAACGTTTACGGAGTTTAATATGTATGGGGGGGAAAAAAAAAAAAAGATTGCAAAAGACAAAAGACAGAATATCTAAAGCAAAACAAATTGAATTTCGGCCTCGCTGCAAATTGAACTATTCGTATCTCATTACTTCCATCAATGTGCTGTAGAAGTTAGCTGTAATCGCAACAGTCGTTACCGTCCAGTCCCGCTTCCTGCGTCTCGTCTTTAATCGCGACCGATGTAGTGGACGGCGGCACTATCACTGGAACGTCGGATTTGCGACTCACCGACAGGTCCTCTACCTGATCGTCCAGGTCCTGCTGCGGCTGCTGTCTCTGCTTGGCGCAACGTATCACCGGGCTCGAGCTGCAACGGGCCATCGAGTCCGACATCGAGTCCCGCGACGAATCCTTCGTTTTCGAATACGTAGCCTCGAATACCGCGGCACTCGTGCCGGCCAAGCCCTCGGTGACGTTCGCGTTGCTGCTACTCTCGGTCTCGTTCTCGGAAAGGGCATTGGCACTGCTCGCGCTGTTGTCGTAAAGAGCGCCGTTCACGTTAGCGCCGATACCGTACGGGAAACAAGCCCCGCTTCCTCCGTTGCTCGCTGAACGCTTGAACGGCCGCGACGTGGGGATGCCCAGCTTTTTCACTTTGTCGTAAAGCGTGCGCGACGGCACGCCGTATTTTCGCGCTGCTTGAACGGCGCTCATACCTTTCCTCACTGCCTCGATCGCCGCGCTGATGTCGTCTCGAGTGTATTGCTTGTAGCGTTTCCACTCGGGTTTCGGCTGAACGCAGTCCGCGGCAGCTGCGATGAATTAATAAAATTAATATTTCTCGTTACAATGTCTATTTATTTAAAAAAAAAAAAAAAATGTTCGCGAAACGAAATAATATTGAAATATTGGAAAAAGACTAAAAGCACCCAGAAGAAAGGTTTCTTCGATTCAAAAAAACGTTCCTTCGCTATGCGGTTAAAAAAAAGATTTCTTTCATTTTCGAACATTATTTTTTAAAAGCGAATAAAAAATTTATTCGATTTCAATTCGAAGAAACTTTTCTCTAGGTGATATATATATACATACGTATAAATTTAATCGAATATAAATATAGATCGAACTTTTATAACAGAGAACACAAGCTCGTTCTCTTGCCTGAAGTCACGATATCCTCTGTCAACCAGTTTTGTAATAAAAATATACACATATTGTAACAATAGAATCTATATTCACGGAAAGAATTATATCCTAAAATTAACCCTGAAAATATGGTAATCGCGGGACAACATTATATATTTCGAGGAATTTTTATGTAAATCTCTCACATCTATTAATAAAACTACAATAAAATATCAAATAAGTATGATTAATTTTACTGAAGTGCATGGTAAAAATCTTTAAATTTATTGTATTGTACCATATATAATTACTATATTTTCAGGGCAAATTTTAAGAAATCTCCTTCTCTCCGTATTGCAATAGATACTATTATTTTAAGTAACTAGTTTTTCATTTATACGTGTGACTATTAAACTGTGTGTGTGTGTGTGTGTGTGTTCTTTTTTACCTGGTGCATTTACGACAGCTCCACTAACTCTATCATTCCCATGTGAGTTTTGTTCGCACGATGCAGAGGATAAATTTGTCGATTCGTTTATGTATTGTAGGTAATACAAAGCATACAACTTTAAATAATCGGTGTATGCATAATGCGGAACTCCCGCGATATCTGACGTGCTATTGCTACCTGAATTTCTAGCAGTGTCTCCGTAAGACTGCGGGGATGGCTGTCTCTCGTCTTCGTCCGCGTAGGAGACGTCGGCGTGGACCGTCGTCGTTTCACCGTGAGCCAACTCGTTATTACGACGGTTATCGCTGTCGTTCGTGGATCCGTTGCTGTTCGCGTTGCGGTAGTTGACCGGCTCGTGGCTATCCGGCTGCAGCAGCGGCATAGCCTGCGAACTATCAACGTGGGCCTGGCCAAGCACCGTGCGCAATATCGGCGTGTCGTTATTTATCAGCAGGCCCGACGGCGGCTGCAGCAGCTTCCGGCGTTTGAACGGCGAGGTTTCGATACCGTTGTCGTAAGACCCGCTGCCGCTGCCGCCGCCGAGAACGGAGGAAAGCGACGTCGGTAGCTGATGGCCCGTGGAATGCAACGGCAACGGCCACGTGCTGGATAACGAGCTCGCCAGGTGACTTGAACCGCGATCGTGCGAGGCCGCCGAGTTCCCGTAAAGGGAGTAGTAAGACGGCGGTGACGAGTGGCTGAGTGGCGGCGATACCGACGTTTCCTCAGGGCGAAGATCGTGCGGCGTGTTGCTACCGCGTTCCTCAACCAGGCCCTTCACCTTCAGCACCTGCGCGATCTTCAGCAGATCGGACAACTGTTCGTGCGCCACGTTCACTTCGCCGCGATACATGTACTCCAGGATCGCCTTTATCTCCGGAAACCCGACGTCTTTGAGGACGATTATCGGATGGTGATTGTAGCCCGGTAATTGATGGAACAGGGTCTGGAAGTAGGTCGAGCACGCGGCCAGCACGATCTTATGACACTTGACCGTCCTGCCGTCGTCCACGGCGAGGGTGACGTCGGTGAACGCCGCGTTGTGCAGCAACTCCTCGAAGACGTTCAGCAAATTCGAGCGATGATTGTTCCATCGAAGGCAGTACTGTTGCGAGGCAGACATGATGTCCGAAGGATGATTGTGGCTGTCCGCTTGTAATCTGCTGGCAAACACACCACTCCTAGTCAAATAGATGCTCGACTGTGGCTCGACTGACCAGGTCGAGCGACGAAATCGAAATGTTGTTCGCCACGCAAATTACCCCCCTCCCCCCTCCCGTCCTAAGTTTCCCCCCAGCTGGAGTTCCCTGCTGGTGTGTGCGTGTGACGCATGATTCATTTTAAAAAGTACCCTGTCGAGACTATTGTATTTATCTAGCGATAAGGGCCAGTGCGAGGGATCAAAGGTCATAATTGCATTTTAATGCATGCATTATTATATAGTTTATTATTTGTACGCGACGTACGTTCCTCCTTTTCGCTATTAGAAATTGAATCGACAGAAGTTTCATTCGTATCGATACGCGCCAATAGGAATTATTAATAATATTTCAAATAAGATTGAATCTGAAACAATTTCGGTTTCGATCTTATGCAAATAGAAAGTGTATAGGAAGAGATTGTATAAAATTTGCTATTCTTATATTACAAGAAGGAAAAATCAAGCTTACGTTTACCGAAAGATTATACATTATAAAATTTCTGTAGCTCATAACTTCGTTACTCTGACTGTTAAAGAATTTACGAATCTTCCTTTTGTCTTTAATATAATACCCGAAAGAATTTATAAAATAGTTTGTATTGTATTGCAAAAATTCATAATATTTATATAGTAGATGATTTCATCAGACAGATTTCTATACATTTCAAGACAATCACGATCTGAATTATTATGACTTACGACATATAAATAGTTGATTGTTAAATGTTTGTGATAAAGCGATAAAGTACTCTTATTTTTTTGTCTTTTATGCCATTCCTTGTTAATCTTTAGTCAAGAACCCAAAAGCTCATTGTCACATCCGAGACTATTTTTGAAGCTAGCGAAGATTACGTATCTTAAGGTCCGAATGTGATTAGAAAAAGAACTATCCAAGCAATACAAATACAGCAACACTACATAAACTAGAAAATGATCACAATGATAAGAATATGATAAGACAATGTCGGGAGACGCGTCGCAAAATATTTACATTAAATATCGAAAAAGCGTTCTATCTTATTCAAAGGTTGCATTGAAATTTCAACAAATTCCACATACAGAAATTTTCCATAATGGTAACATTTGGGTGAGCCATTGTCTACAAATGTTCGAGAAGATTTCTTTAACCCTTTCCGTCGACGGCATTCAGCAGCAAAAAATTCTTTATCATAAGATTCTCAAGGTGAAACGAGCGTGAAAAAAAAAACACCCAGCAAACCTACCTGACCGTTACTTTCTCTTAACCCTTTCTTTCAAATGTCACGAAAAAAAAACACCGAGCTACTACAGATTACAAACCATGTAGTAACTTTTACCGTTTCATATTTCGCATCGATCTTATTGCCAAAGATTTTCGTATCTTTATATGTAAAACTTCGAAGCGATAAATGCAGCATTCTCGTCTCAAACATAAAATTTTTTTTTATTTCCATCAATAATGGCAGATTTGACATAAATAACGAAAAAATTACGTTTTTTTTTTATAATTCACGACTTGCAAAGATCTACACGAGTTTTTTTTCTTCTTTTTTTTTATTGGCTGTAATTTTGCAATTCATACTTTTACTATTCATCTCTAATTATTTCTGCACAATTTATTTCTTCTTTTTATATTTTGATATCGAATGTAATAAAACTAACACACAATTTCTACATCTTTATACTATACATATTTTATATCATACAATATGTTATATTAAAAAATACTTATTCATTTATTTTATTGTCATCCTATGGCTTCGACATTTTAAATTTATCAGATCTGTCATTTTTCCGCTTCTCTATTTTTCCCTTCCCAAATACATATATATATAATTGAAATAATAAAAGTGTGAATGAAACACGATCGATATCCCCCGTGATTGGAGCGAGATCGCTTCGCGAGGGGATAAGTTAGTCGATATTTGCATTCCTCGCGTAGAGGGTGAGTCACGCGTTCTCACCGACTTATTAGTCGACCCAGTAGGAATTAGGAACAAGCAATGAGATAAGAATGAGATAAGGAGATCTCGTAAACTGGGGAAATGCATACGTGGAAGCATACGACTACGTGTAATGATGCCAACGAATCATCTTGACGTTTTAATCTGGTCGACCCGCAAATTATCCTCGACCGATCCATTCGCCAAAACCGAAGCTTGCGAAAACAAACGCGTGAGGCAAAGAAGGATGAAAGAAAAACATCAACCATAAATTTGTAAATAAAAGTCGGATTACGTCTATAATGACTTAGTAACTCTAGAGAGAGAACTAGAGTTTTCACTTTAAGTAAAAAAAAAAGAAAGAATTTTTCATAAGCAGCGATAAGTGTAAGTGCAGTACAAAGATGTTAAGAGTCAAATAAACAACAATAAACTTTTATTGTTAATGATAAAAGAAAGGCGATACGGGAAAAATTTTCAATTACCGAACACTTTTGTATTTTCTCTGAATGTTTATGTGTTTTGCGTGTTATTGTATGTCGTGTTTGAAATTAGAAAAGGATCGTTTTAAATGCTCCCAATACATTTTGCACTCGATATAAGCGGAAAGCAGACACGAATTAGTTCCATCGTTTGCCATGACTCGTTATAAGCGGAGGAGAAAAACGTGCGTACAACTTACTTACAGTGACTCGGTATAGACGCTTCTCTCGCGACGACGAAACGTTGCGGACGGCGGATCTAATAAAAGCGAGCGCAGCCAGAGGATGCAGGCTGGAGACTAAACGTTTTTCTTCTTTCCGCAGACCGTGGAGAGTCTCCGAGTGATTTCCTCGGGTATACAAAGCGCGAATTATCAAGGAAGGACGGGCCGCCTCATACAGAGTCGTTATCGATATATATCCTACACGATATTGCCCTTCCTCTCCTCCCTTTCTAATCTTGCCTAGTGCAGCACAAAATGCGTATGCACTTCGGACGCGCTTACGGGGACCACACGGTGCCTCCTCTTCTCTCCCTCTCCCTCACGCACTCCTATCTACCTACGTATATATAATGTAACCGCGTGCACGCCTCATGCGACGGACATGCCGCACGCGGAAGACGCAATAAAAGAAAAAAGAAAAAAAGAAAAAAAACGGGGAAAAAGAGAGAGGCGCGAGCGCGCGTGCACGCACACACGCGCACACATACGCACGCACGCCAATCGTATCACGCACTCCTTATTTCACGCACCCTTATTTCACTCCACCCCGCCCCCCGTTGCTGATTGCACCAACGTGGAGGACCATGCGCGCCCGCAAATAAGCCGCACGTTCTCCAGCACTGCGAGAGGCCCGTCCGCGCCGCGGGAATCAGAAAACCTCTCTTCCTGCCTGCCCGACGACCACTGACGCTTGCACCATGCCGTTGGCTGTACGGCTCGGCCTAGCCCGTCACGCGACGACAGTCATAGGGGTGGTGAAGTGAGTTCATACGTCTGTGAGTTTCCTCCTTCCTCGTGTGTGCCAGTTGGGGCACCAATGGCGTAACCTTCGCTAAGGCCACGATCATGGCCGCCGTCCCAGCAAGTTTCACGTAATTCTTCTCGCAAGAAGATACCGAAATTATAAGCAGGCAGATCGAGAACTGCACCGGAAGAGTGTAAAGGAATCAAAATACGGGGCTGTTATATATGTCAAAACTTGAAGGCGTGCAAACGTAAAGATTTTTAGATCAATTTCAGCTTGATGCGAATTCTTAATGTCTTCTCAATCGCACTTGTGTATTAGGACTCCGGTCTAAAGTCCACGATCGGAGAAAAAAATCGAGGGGAAATTCGGACGCGCTTTTAAAACAGTTTGGAACAACTTCGATATGCTGAGAGAAAGAAAGACGGAGAAAGCGTGGGTGTATGCAGTATTCTATACCATGACACTTTTATATACAAACTACGAAGAGGGATGCTTGCACCGATGTTATATTTAGGGAGCTGCTGCTCGTATACGTTATATATTTCAAAACTTTCAACAAGTTAGTCGTATATTTTGTGAATGCCGACGCTTTAATTAATACAATTATACGAAGAGCGAATAATTTTACCGTAGCGTCTAAAAATTCAGCTGACAACTGAAAATAATTTCGTTTAACCATAAGAATAATTATACGTAGGAAACTCAAGCATGGTGAGTAATACTACCAAAAGTTTCGACATTGCGTATACCAACAACCCATTTAATAAGAGTCCTACACAATTATATGTCTAAATTTTTAGCAAAACCTAAATACTTGAGCAAAAATCATACGTTGGTTTAAATCATGCTAAAATAAGTCCGGACAGAAGTTGACAATATTTTTTATTCACAAAAAATCTTTCTAGTCCGAAAACTGCACAGAATGTACGATTTTGGTGAAACATCTAAAAATATAGATCCGAAAATAAGTTTGTCATCACAAAATAATTATTAGAATGCTCTAATTGATTACTAGAATATAAAAATTATTATTGTTATTTAATTATAAGGAGTCTAATTTTATATTTTTTTTTTTCAATTATTTTATAAAAATTAAAAGTTTCATTGTGTGATCAACGTTTAAATATTCTACATAATTTTTTGGACGATCTAACAAAATTATTTTCAGACCTAACCTAGTTAGACCTTTTTATACCTTTACTTTGTAAAAAGTAAGAGGTATAAATACATATAATCGATGATATTAATTAAAACGATAGATAGTAGTAATGACAGCGACAAATCAGTTCAATTACGCGAATTGTCGTATAATAAAACCAACAACTTTTGTAATCAAATTAAGGATGAAACCGCGGAATCATTCCCGGTAAGATTAGCGTGATTAAAAAAAAATCACACAGTCACAAGCCGATAAAACTAATGAACGAGTAGAGCGTTAATGTCTCGATTACAATTAAAGCGATTCCGATTTTCGGCCTCTCGTCGAATCCGATTTTCTTTCTGGATGTCACAATAACGCGCGAGAGCGCGCGGCCGGAGGAAAATA